TTGGACACTGACAAAATCAGGAAGAGAAATAAAAACGAATGTAACGAGGACGCTTTTCCACAAACATGGAAATTCAAAAGCATCTTTTACTTGTAACAAATTAATTCCTACCCCGTGTGTGTTCATCTCATAAGACCAGATGTTGCACGTAACGGCCAGGGGCCTAGAGATGCCTACTGTGCAGTCCACCGGCCCCATGAAATGCAGGGGTCCCAGGTCTTCTGTTCAGATCTTCAAGGCTCAGGAATCCTTTGTGGGAGCACCATGGTCCAGTCCATGGCCTAAGATCACTGTAGTAACAAAGCTCCTGGCCAAAAGGTGAAGAGTATCACCACTCTGGAGAGGTTTCAGCTTCTTATAAAGTTGCACTTACACTTAATATCCAACCCAGAGGTCCCACTGACACAAATGAAATGAAAACAGGCTTCCAAAAAGATTCATCCTCATGTGTTCACAGCAGCTTTATTCATAATAGCCAAAAACTGGAATCAACTCAGATGTCAACCAATAAGTGATGGATAAACCAACTGCAGTACACCTGTGAGGTCAGTGGGGGACTGCGAGGAGATTCAGTATCAGTTCTGATACACAGAAGAAGGTCACCAACGTGCCAAGTGTAAGAGCCAGCCACAGAAGGGTGGACACTGTGTGATTCCATTTATATGAAATCACAGGACAGAATAAGTTAGTTGTAATAGAAATCAGATTTACTACATGGGTCCAGGAGTAAAGGAAACTGAGAAAAGGCAGAAAGGAATTTTGAAAGGTGGTGAAAATATTCTGTCAATTCAGGTAACCTTTACAGGGTATATACATTTTTTAAACTCACCAGACTAAAATGCATGCATTTCCATTATTAATTAATTTCAATTAAATATTTAATTTTTGAAAAGGGCACTAGAGAAGTATTTATCCTTTAGATGAGTGGAAGATGGAGTCTAAATTTCCCTCCCAAGCAAGATAAAAAGCCCAGGTTCCCACCTGGGTTTTGGTGTTTCAAACCAAGCCTAATCTCAGGATATAAACAGAAACACAAATTGACATTTAGGGGTGAAGCTGGTCCAAATGAAGTATCTGATCTCTTATAGGCAGAAGGCAGATATTCAGAAAAACAAAGATGAAAGCATGCCCAAGTGAAACAGGATCAGCAAACAGACTGAATGGATCTGATGAGTGGTGGAAGCACCAGACAGGCCCTAAGTAAGCCTCCCTAGTGTGATGAGCAGAGAAACCAGTCTGCTAGCTACTGCAGTAGCCCAAGTGCCCCCATGGAAACGGAAAGAAACAGAAACTATGAAGGATCATGAAGGGAGAGTTCCTAGAACAACAGGATATGACAGGGAACTTCAGAGACCATGTGGTCTTCAAAGCTTGAGACTCTGCAGGAATGCTGATAGTGGAGGGTCCTTAACCAGAACAACCTTCTCAGAAAGGCCAGATGTAGAGGGAATGCTGCGCTCCAGGTATCCACAGGACGAACAGGATGAGCAGTGGCTGGGAAGGAAGTCAGAAACATCTGGGTTTAGAAGTGTGCTGGAATGAGCCTTCTTCTTCTGCACATGCCATTCTTTGCCTTAAAGTCTACTTTGCCTAAAAGACAAATTCAAATGGACTATAAAAGTGTTCCTGGACTCCTATGGGCAGAGTAAATATGGCTCCCTAGCATCTTAGTGTTCTAATCAGGGGTGAGCAGAAAGGTAGGGCTGGGGAAAATCCTGAATGATCAGGTCAGAATGATCTGGATTCAAACCCCAATTGGGCTTCAGACCCAGTTGTGTGAGCTGTTCAGACCAGTTCAGACCAGCTGTGTGACCTCTGGTCATTCACAATCTCTTGAGCCTCAGAATCCTCTTGGGTGAAATAAAGCTGAAGTCTACCTTTAGGACAATTAAATTTGGCGCCTAGCGGGCTCGTGTTGGTGGCGGCTGTGAGCCCTCCTGTGGCAGTGGCCAATCTTTTCCTTTCCAAACCTAGCCACCCTAGACAGGACTGTCTTCTTCAGTCTCCAATATTCCTGCTCACAAGGGGCTTACAAGCAGAGAGCTGGAGGAGGATATGGATCTGGGAGACCAAGGGGTCATTCCGGCAGGGCTCCTAGGAATCCTGAGCGTGGCTGGGCTGTGACACTCAGAAGTCACACGTGCGACTTCCAGTCCTACAGGAATGAGGCCAGTGTCAGCCTGCCCCCTTCTGCCGGGAAGGAGGGAAATTACGCCTGCCACCGAGTCACTGCGCAGATCTCACTGCCCATTCACCCCGGGGGCCCACGGGGGTGGTCCTGTAGCCCCATGGCACGCCACAGAGGGGCTAGCAGGCAGGACCCGGTTCCTGCGGGGAGGGGAAGACGGCCGGTGCCAGGATTTTCTGGGGAGGGGCCCTCAGGGCGCCACGTCACGGGGACAGCGGCCACCTTTCCCAGCGCCACTGGAGCTGCGGAGCATTCGCGAGAAAGCCCCACTCCGCAGGGCTGCCCTGCAGGCTGCTGGGGACTCGGGACACAGTCCCGGGGTGCAAAGCTAGGCAATGAGGGTCCCGGGCCACCCCGAGGTGCGCGGACCAGACCCGCACTCATCCCAGTGCGCTGCGACCTGTCCCCGCACGGCAGGGGCCAATCGGAGCCGCGGCGCGCGATCACGTGGCCTCCGCGCCGACCGGGCACTTCCGCCCTGGCGGGGAAGCCACGCCACGCGTCTTCTCGCGGGATTTGCGCGCCGCCCGGGTTCCTGCCACGTGCTCGCGGGCTGGGGGAGTCGCCTGCGCAGACCGGCGACCGCGGCTCGGGAGCTTGCGGTTTTCCGGCTTTGCAGCACCGTCGCCGCTCCCTTCCCTCCGCCCGCTGCAAGGCTCCAGGCCAGAGAGCGTCCCAGCCCCAAGTCGGGGCGGGCGTATCAGGGAGGACGGGGAGCTTCGCACCCCAGGAATGCGGGCTTCTCCCGCCCTCAGGGACGGAGGGCGCGGGAAACTTGCCCCTGGCCGCACGGAGCCAGGTGGCACATGGCACCGGCACGCCCCGCCCACGCGGCTGCTAGTGACTGACAGCGCTGGGGGCCAGGGCTCGTGCGTGTGGCAGGAGGGGGCTGGGCGCTGTCCCCGACTGGGTCCCTCCCGCGGCCTGGCCTGGGTGCAGTCCCTGGGCCCAGCGTTTGGAGCCTGGTGTCCTGCACCCGACTGGAAGGAGGAGGAAGACCAGGATCAGCAGATGTCATGAGAATGCTATGAAAGAGCCTCCGCTTAACCACAGGACAGGCCAGGAGTGGAAAACGGGCTCTCTAGAGATGTTAAAAGTGCCTACCCTTTATTCGTTGGTGTCAAGTGAATGACATTTGTACCAGATTCAGCTGCATGAAGAAATGATGGATACCGTAGAAGAGTCAAACTAAACCATTTCAGCTGCCCACGGGTGTCCAGGCCTTGCCTGTCTTTTGAAACTCCCTGGAAATTCCTGAAACTCCAACCCCCACCCCCTACCAGTGTCTGCAATCAGGAGTTATCCTCCTAGATTAGTAGGTGAAATGCCCTTAACTCTGAATTTCTGACAGAAGGTAAATTAAAGCCCTGGTTTCCTAGGGAGGGGAAAGAGAGGCCACGAGAGGAAGAAAGACCTTCCTCCTGGAAGGGATATGGAGGGACTCCAAAAGGTACAAATCACCCAGGAATTATAAAATGTGGATTTCCCAGCTCTCCACTCCCCAAACCTGGGCAAGTTGATTTCCTCCCCTTGTGGGGTTGTCCCAGAGGCTGCCTGAATCTACAGAATGGTCACAGCCATCTGTGGGCACATTCACAGACCTATGAACAGGAATCCTGGCACTTCCCACTGGACTTCTTCCCTCTGGGCAGCCGGTCACCATGGAGTAACATTTCAAAACCCGACGTCTTCAGGAGGCATCAGAACCATTGGTTTCCTTTCACAGGAAGAAAGTAAAGGAGAACTTAAATGCATCTGGGCATCTGGTTGCCACCAGCACCCCCTAGTGTTTGCTCAGGGGTCACACTGCTGAGATACCGGAAAAAATCACCTGATGTGATTCCATGAAAAGAGAGGAAATGACTCCCTGCAGAGTGACCTTGTGATCCCCCAATAAAGACATGGAAGAGCCGGCAAGCACTGAGGCATATGTCATCTCTTGCAACCAGGTGGAGGGCCCATGTGCCCAAGAGGCCTCTTATCTCTTGCTGTGGGCCACCGTTCCTGTTTCCTCCCATCCTTATCCCAAGGACATGGCACATATCAGGTACTCACTGTGCACTAAGCTGAGCACATCAGCATTCATAGCTGGGGAGCTGAGAGAGAGCCTAACACTGGAAGAGCAGGCCATTACGTTATGTGCTGTCTACCTGGTAGCAGCTCTTCCCTCCCTCCAGAAGGCCATTCCAATCCTTATTTCTGCCGGATCTGAAGGGTCATATCAGAGAACCAGGCATGTTTTCAAGACACAGGAAGTAACTCTTCGTATTTGCACAGAACTCTACAGTCTACACAGCACTTTCACATACTTTCCTTTAAGAAGGTCATCTTTCTAACCCCCGGGTTAGAGATCACGTTCCTGAAGCACAGTGTCACAGGATGAATCATGCCACCTTAAAATTTGTGGATTGAAGTCCTACGCCCCAGCACTTTGAAATGTGACTGTTTTGGAGACAGGGTCTTTAAAGGGTCATGAAAGTTAAATGAGATTTCCTGGGGGCCCTGATCCCACATGACTAGTATCATTCTTAGAGAAGAGGACACACACAGACAACCATGTGAAGACACAGGGAGAAGATGGCCCTCTACAAACCAACCAAAGAGGCCTCAGAAGAGACCAAGCCTACTGACACCTTGATCTGGGCCTTCCCAGCCCCCAGGACTTGAAGCAATAGTGTCTGCTGTTCCAGCCGCCAGTCTGTGGTGTGTCTTACAGCAGCTCTGAAACTCATATGCCCAGGGCAAGCAGGCAGCCAGTGAGCAGGAAAGGCAGGATGACACCAGAGTAACTGGTGGCTGGCACCAAGTTCTTTCCCCTCCCAGTCAGGAGGCACCTGCACATGAACTAGGAACAGGCACCCCTTCCTCGAGATACACTTTGTTGTGTGCCAGAGAAGGGACCTAGGCTGCCTCTCAGGAGAAGGGTACACCCGGAGTTGCTCAGTGCGTGACACATACCGCTGTGGCCTAGAGTGGAAAGCACACACAGACACCCTCCAAGGGAGAGGAAGGCACATTCCACGGATCAGGTTGAGGCTCCCCAAGCACCAGCCAGAACCTACTCTGAATGTGGAGTAAGAAAAACCAGGGATCCCAGATGTCTGAGCAGCCCCACGCCACAGGGCATCCAGCTTCCCCGGCCATCTTCAGGGGCGCTCATCGCGCAGTCCCTGTGCTTACCAGCGCCCTGGCTGGGAGGCAACCCCTGCTTTCCTGTGATATTGTCCATATGTAAGGACAGTTGCCCTTCAGTACCATGGGGATTAGGACACCGCTCCCCTGCTGGCAGGATGCTGGTCCCTACGTGAGAGGACGTGGCATTTACATGTGACCACCCCCCACCATCTCCAGGCACCTCTGGGTTGCTCATATCTAACGTTTAATGCTGTGTAAGCAGTTGTCATACTGTATTACTTAGGGATAATGACAAGAAAATAAAAAGAGGATGGCCAAGCTGTTTTGCTTTTGTTTTTCCAATATTCTTCATCTGGAGACGGTTGCATCTGGAGATGAGGAACTGCAGGTAGGAATAGGCAGGGCCAACTGCACCTGGAAATGCACACGTGACATGTTAGGCGTCCTTTTTGCCTAAATCTGAGGTTTTGATTTAATGTTGGTTTGGGTCAGCTGGTTCAAATATTCTGTATCCCATTCTTATTAGGTCACCTACTTCTGAAGGAGTGGTTTTTGGAACATGCCTGGTGGGGGTCAGGGTGACAGGGAGTAGTCGGAGTTTGTGCGGCCGTTGTCCTAGCATCAGCCGCTGGTTCAGAAAAAAAAAATCTATCACAAATACCTTCTGTTTTCTCAGGTGGTTAAAGCACTCAATAAAGGACTTTTAGGAAGTGCAGCTGTTTCTGCGTGTTTCCTTGGAGGAAAAAGATTACTAAAAGTTATTTTATAATAATAAGCAAAGAAAAAAGATCAGATCATGTAAAATGCATCTGGGGTGGGTAGCCATAACAAGACAGGAGAGGTCTCTTGAGGCTCATGACAATGTTGCTTTGGCCACTGGAGAACAGAGGAGCTCTCGGGCACACAGTGGGAAACGGGCACACAGTGGGAAACGGGTGGAGTGGACACAATACTTCTTTATTCTGCCTGCGCCATCTCCTAGACACACATTGTTTAGTTGAGGAAGGATATATGGTGGATTCATATTTCCCAAACTTGTGCACTGTGATATTTCTGGTCTCATCTGGCAGGAAATTGACATGCCCCCTTTAAACAGCCTATTTCCCCTCCCCTTGGTGACGAGATTTGCTGAGCAGAGTGAAGCAACAGGACACCACGTGACTTCCAAGGTCAAAGGATGGTGGTCCCACTTGGTGTTTGGGGTCTCTCCCTCTCTGTTCCTGTCTCTGTCTCTGTTTCTTCTGCCTCTCTCTCCCTCAGCCTCCTACCTCACTGTTCCCCTTCCCCCCTGTGAAGGCCCCCCCCAGCCCCAGCCACCTGCTGTGAGTGCCCAGAGGACAGCCAGGCCCTGTCCCAGCCAAAGCTGCAGGGCTCTCAGAGAAGGGCTGAGAAACCCAGGAACATGGTGGGAGTCAGCCACGGGCGAAGACGAAGGTGGGGGAAAGGCTCTGAGAGAGGGGGAGGAGAGGACGGCCACTGAGGTGGCTCTGCAGGGAAGCTGCTGCACAGTCAACGTGACACTCTGAGAGCATGGGGGGGGTGCAGACGTGGGCGTGAAATCCCCACTTCTCTAGTAGAAAGCCCACGGGGAGCACCATACGTGAGCAGGGTCGTCCTGAGGTGCGGCAGGATGGTGGTCCCCAGCGATGGCCGAGCCCTAATCCTGTGAACCCATAAGTTTGTTACCTCATGTGACAAAAGGGACTTTGCAGGTGTGGTCAAGCCGATGACCTTGAGGTGGGAGATGATCCTGGTTGATCCAGGTGCCGCTGCTCTCACGAGGGTCCTGCAAGGGTGGAGGAGGAAGGCGGCAGAGTGAGAGGAGGAGACCAGGAGGAGAGGTGGGACAGGGGTCGCTGGCTTTTGAGACAGAGGGGCTGTGAGTCCAGGGACGCAGCAGCTTCTAGAAGCTTGGAAAAGTGGGGAAAGAGATGCTCCCTGCAGCCTCCAGAAGGAATCAGCCCCGACACCCTGGCTCCACGTCAGACTGGCCTCCAGAACAGTGAGGCCATAAATACGCATCATGCCGCTAGGTCTGGGGGATCCCTCCAGCAGCAGCAAGGTCAGGGTCAGGGAACCACTCAAGGTTGAGACTGTTCTCTGGGGGAGAGGAGTGGACAGAGGGACCGTTCTTCCCCATCCTGTGCCTTTCCTTTGTACATAGAATTCTAATGTCCTTCAACTGTGTGCATCTAGTTCTCTGTGCATCTGTGTGTGCTGGTTTGGCTCATGTGCTTAAGGCTCGGTCCTGTGGCACTGCTGGGAGGTGGTGGCACTTTTACAAGGTGGGGCCTCGTGGGAGGAAGTTGGGCCACTGGAGGTGTGACCTTAGGGGATATTGGGACCCAGTGCCTTTCTGTCTCTCTTTGCTGATTATAGTACTTACATAGACGGAGCAAGAACAATTCAGCAATCGATAGGAGATTAGTGAGCACCTACTGCATGCCCTGGAAATACCAGGTGAGCTGAGGGGTGTGCTGAAGTGTCCCGGCCCCTGGACTCCAGCGTCCATCAGTCCTGCTGGGCAAGCGCTCCTCACCCATGGCAAGACCTGCCTCCTCCTCAGCAGCTGTGCTGGCTCGGAGACCACAGGCCCAGTGGGAAAGCCCGGGAGGGTGGTGTCGTCAGAAGAAGCTGTTTCCTGGAGCGCTGGACCTGAGCTGTCCTTCAAGAGCTGGAATCTGACGGTGGCGGCGGAGGCCTCCCAGGGGAAGTGAGAGCCACTGTGCGTGGACATGGCAGAGACCAGCCTGAAGTCCCACAGGGAGAGGAGTACGAAGTCCACAGCTATGGTCCCCAGCTGCGGGGGCCAGGCACGCAGCCACTGCTCAGACTCAGAGCATTACGTTAGAAGACCCGGGGCTCCTGTGAGCAGGTCCCACGTGGAAGAGCCAGAAGAAGCCCGAGGTGCCAGGAGCTTCCAGGTGACAGCGACCCTCCCTCTGGGATAGCTTGTCTATCACTGAGTCGCTCAACAAATACTCTTCCAGCACCTCCCACATTCCAGGACCACTCCAGGCCCCAGGAACCCTGTAAGGGACAGGACAAGCCGGGAGCCTCCCCTGGGGCTCACATTCCAGCAGAGGACGAATACACACAGCATTCACACCAGGGGAGAGCAGGGGAGTGTTGTTCAGATAGGCGAGCCGGCACACAACTGAGGAGCAAGGGGGTGGTTGTGGGCACGACCACCTCAACTGACCACCATGCCATCCCTGGTGAATCTCCACCAGAACCAAACCAGGCCCCAACAACACTCCCAACCCCAGGCCCAGAAGAAACCATCCAGATGTTCGCTCCTGTTTCCCGGTCACGGGTCAGCCGCCAGCTCGGCTTGCAGGCCATTTGTCAACCGCACACCAAACCAGGGTGGGCAGTCTCCAAAGATAGCTACAGAAACGTGGTGACCTCCTTCACGTCAGCTGCCAAAAAAAAAAACGGCCAAGTCCAAAAACAAGCAAGTCAACAAAGAACCCAAAAACCCGGCCCCAACCCCCCAAAAAAAGCCGGGCAACCTGCACACGTGGAGGCCCCCGGAGTCGGGCCGGGGTGGCCCCGCCAAACCCGGAAAAAACAAAAAAGGGGGGGGAACCCAAAGGCCGAGTCCACCTGTGCTTATCTTTTGGCAGGCTGTTCTCCTTATAAAGGCACACACATGCCCCTGCCACTCGGGCCAAAGGAATTCAGGCACGTCCCCTTGGAGCTCTGAAATAACACTCCCCATCCAGGGGCTGCAGAGGGAGCCGGGTCTGCAGTTCAGCTCAACTCGCCGAGAGTCTGCAGCAGGAGTTTCACTCTAAAGAACCAAGGAAAATGGGTTGCAAATGCAGATCCCTGGGTCCTTCCAGCCAGAGACGTGGGCTCACGCCATTGATCGGAAGAAGCTGGAGATCTACAATTGCTTCAGGGGCCGAGGCCGCAGAACACACTTCAAGAAACTGTTTTACACCCAAAAACTAGTGTTGGGGGCAGGTTTTTAGAGATGTCGCTTCCTAAGGAGTGCGTAGTCCAAAAAAAATAGGACCAAAGTACACAGCCCTCCAAAGGTCCTCCTGCAAGAGACCAGAAGAGGTGCTGGGGGGAGGTTCCCAGGCCCTTACCTCCAGGGTCGCCCTTCCCTGTGGAGTTGTGGGTGTGGTTTTATTTCTTACTGTGCACTATGGTCATATATAATAATGGGATTGTTATTACTTACTGGTACTTGCACACAACAGAACCATATGACATCCTCATTTTCTACCCTCTGTACCTCCCTCTTCCCTCCTGTCCTCCCTGCCCCTGGGCCCTTTCCTCTATTCTATTGTCTCTCTCCTATTTTTATGAGATCCTTCCTCACCTTTGTTTTACTTTCTCCTCTTTAGCTTCCACATGTGACAAAGATGTATCACCCATGTAGCATGAGATTCTCCTGTTTCATCCATTTACCAGCAAATGCCACAATTTCATTCTTCTTTATTGCTGAGTAATATTCCATTGTGTATATATACCACGTTTTTTTTTTATCCATTCATCTGTTGAAGGGAACCTAGGTTGGTTCCACAATTTAGCTATTCTGAATTGAGCTGCTGTAAACATTAATGTGGCTGTGTCACTAAAGTATACTGATTTTAAATCCTTTGGATAAACTGAGGAGTGGAATAGCTGGGTCAAATGGTGATTCCATTCCAAGTTTTCTCAGGAATCTCCATACTGCTTTCCAGAGTGGTTGCACCAATCTGCAGTCCCACCAGTCATTTATGAGTGGACCTTTTTCCCCACATCCTCACCAACATTTATCATTACTTGTATCCTTTTTTTAAACATATTTTTTAGTTGTAGATGGACACAAGATCTTTGTTTATTTTTATGTGGTGCTGAGGATTGAACCCAGTGCCTCACACGTGTGAAGCAAGCACTTTGCCACTGAGCTACAGCCCCTGCTCACTTGTATCCTTGATAACTGCCATTCTGACTGGAACGAGATGGAATCTCAGTATACTTTTAATTTGCATTTCTCTAATTGCTAGAGATGTTGAACAGTTTTCCGTATATTTGTTGACTGATCCTATTTCTTCTTCTGTGAAGTGGCTGTTCGGTCCTTTGCCCATTTATTAGTTGGGTTATTTGTTTGTTGGTTTGGTTTGTTTGGTTTTTGGTGTTAAGTTTTGGGAGTTCCTTGTATGTCCTGGAGATCAGTGCTCTGAGGTGCAGGTGGCAAAGATTTTCTCCCACTCAGTAGGCTCTCCCTTCACATTATTGATTGTTTCCTTTGCTGTGAAGAAGCTTTTTAATTTGATTCTGTCCCATTTATTGACTCCTGATTTTCCTTCTTGTGCGTTAGGAGTCTTGTTGAGGAAGTCAGTTCCTAAATCAGCATGATGGAGACTTGGGCCTACTTTTTATTCTGTTAGGTGCAGGGTCACGGATTTCCAGTTTTCTCAGCACCATTTGTTGAAGAGGCTGTCTTTTCTCCAATATATGTTTATGGCACTTTTATCCAGTATGAGATACATGTATTTGTCTCTGTGTCTTCTATTCTGTACCCTTGGTCTACACGTCTGTTTTGGTGTCAGTACCATGCCATTTTTGTTACTATGGCTCTGTAGTATAGTTAAGGTCTGGTATCATGATGCCTCCTGCTTCAATTTCCTTCCTGAGGATTGCTTTAGCTATTGTGGGACTCTTAATTTTCCAAATGAATTTCATGATGTTTTTTTCTATTTCTGTTAAGAATGTATTGGGATTTTAATAGGAATTACATTAAATCTGTATAGTGTATAGCTCTGTATTATAATTTAAAGTTGGACATTGTGATGCCTCCAGAATCGCTTTTTTGCCTTAAGATTGCTTTAGCTACTCTGCATCTTTTATTCTTCCAAATGAATTTTAGGACTGTTTTTTCCTAGTTCTGTAAAGAATGCCATTGGTATTGGGATGAGAATCGCGCTGAATCTGTAGGTAACTTTTGGTAATATGCTGGCTGTCTTAAGAGTATTACTTTTGCCTATCCATGAACATGGAAGGTCTTTCCATCCTCTTGTGTCTTCTTCAATTTCTTTTTCAATGTTCTGTAATTTTCACCTCCTTGGTTTTATTTACTTCTAGGATTATGGGGGGCTTGTTTTGTTTTTTAGGATTTTGTGAATGAAATTGTTTTTCTGATTTCTTTTCTAGCAGATTCATTATTGGTGCACAGGAAAGCTATTGACTTTTGTATATTGATTTTGTGTTTTGTGTGGTCTCTAGACTATATTCTAGAAGGCTTCTGGTGGAGCTTTTTGGATCTTCTAAGTATAGGATCATATCATCTGCAAACAGTGACAAGTTGACTTCTACATTTCCTATTGTACTCCTTTGACTTCCTTCTCTGATACTCTGGCTAGAACTTCAGTTCTGTAATGAATAGGAATGCTGAGAGCGGACATCTCTGCATTGTTCCAGGTTTTAGGGCAAATGCTTTCAGTTTTTCCCGTTCCCTATCCTGTTGGCTTGGGCTCTTCATACACAGCCTTTACGAGGTTGAGGTAAGTTCCTTCTATTCCTAGTTTCCGCAGCGTTTTTATCACGGATTTCCAGTTTTCTCAGCACCATTTGTTGAAGAGGCTGTCTTTTCTCCAATATATGTTTATGGCACTTTTATGCTGTTGTTTTAAACTCTACTTTTCACTATGTTCATTAAAATTACAGTCTTGGATCAAAAGTCCCTTCCCCTTACCCTGTGATCATGATTTAAATTAGCTGTTATTTGCAAAAGAATGTAATGAACTTAAAGGCAAGGAGAGGAACGGGAGCGATGATCAGGAACAC